GAAATGAAGTCGCAGGACGAAATTGCACGAGCCACGCGTTGTTTTGGCGCAAAAATTTATCGGTTTTCGCGTTTAAATTGAACGTACATTAAATTTGTTTGAATTATTAAAGTATGGACCCTATTTTTCAAACTAAATATTAAAAACTGATACAAACAATGTACGCATGTTGAAAAAACACCTCATTCACCCATTTGGAAAGATAATTATCCTAATGCAACTATCCTCCCATCATTGCCACATTATATTAATACTAATAAGTAAATATGTTCAGCTGAATCACTTCCTTCAGCCTCGAAACTGCATTTGCAAAGACCTCAGATTTACCACAGCAGAGTCCTTCCAAGTTCATTGACTCTCAGCAGAGAGTCAAAGCAAACCAGCACCAAGAGGCCTAGCGTTGGCCTTCAGCAAACAGCATTAGCATCAGCAGCATAGCAAAACCCACAACAGCTCCTACCCTGAGATGTCTTCTGGACCCGCCATTGGAACAGTTCTTTACAGATTTAACCAACCTTTGACGGGTTGGGCGGATCCGCCAGGCACCTTGTAGGGATTCCTCAGCTTGACGGAAGCGATCCTCAGCTTCAGTGAAGGGAATCCTTGATTGTAGTCTGTCCATTATCGACGCCAACAACCAAACAAACCGCCGCCGAGAGGCCGTGGTCGGGTCTCTCCTGGTGTGCTTCCCTGTTTTGATACAAAAGAATGGCTTCACTTTCCGATTCCGATCACAAACTCAGTTAAATGCAACATCTGACCTACCAATGCAACATTTGACCTACCAAACTCAGTTAAATGCAACATTTGACCTACCAAACCCAGTCAAATGCAACATTTGACCTACCAAACTCAGCTAAATGCACCATTTGACCTACCAAACTCAGCTAAATGCAACATTTGACCTACCAAACTCAGCTAAATGCAACATTTGACCTACCAAACTCAGCTAAATGCAACATTTGACCTACCAAACTCAGCTAAATGCAACATTTGACCTACCAAACTCAGCTAAATGCAACATTTGACCTACCAAACTCAGCTAAATGCAACATTTGACCTATCAAACTCAATTAAATGCAACATTTGACCTACCAAACCCAGTTAAATGCAACATTTGATCTACCAAACCCAGTTAAATGCAACATTTGATCTACCAAACCCAGTTAAATGCAACATTTTACCTACCAAACTCAGTTAAATATAACCTTCAATCTACCAAAATTGATTGTAGTTTTTAACTGGAGTGGATTAAAGATGCTGATAGTAGTAAGAAATTAGGTGGAATCGCCCTTTAGCCATTACCCAAATCGGAAATCAACTTCGGCTTTGTCTAACAACGTCATCAGAGGAAAAAGACAAACAACTTAAAATAAGGGTTCTGAAAAATAACTTACCTTCAAACCAACGCTGCGATTTCAAACATTTCTTGGTTGGGGGACCACTGGACTCGGTCATCAAATCAGTCTGTCAACTTCGTTGCCTGTAGGGATTTCGAATGTCCAGCAGGTGTCAGTATTCAGTGACACAGTATGGATAACAGTATCAATACAGTGTTGCTGTGGGTCGCAACGCTTCATGACGCCTCATTTACCCATCAGTATGCACGTCCACTCGGATTCCGAAAATATAATTTTTAATCCAAAGTTCATGACTATCAGACCAGCAGTTTGTGTCTCGCCGCGGCCGGGTGCTAGCCGCGTCTTTTCTGTAAAACGCTCATCTGAAGCTGCGTCATATTTCTACCCAGCATGACGCATGCGCGCCAAGCTCGTTAGCGCACTCTCGTTGTGTCGTTCGCGGCCGAGCCGATTTAATATGCGGGTTCTTTACTGTGACCTACGGGAGCGGGTTCCCGTTTGAGATGAGGCAGCATACTTAAAAAATAATTCATTTTAAAGATTACTTTGATCAATAAGTATGCTGAGAATAAGCACATAAGCTACAAGGAGGAGTAGTAAGTGAAGAATTACTTTATAGCCAAAAGAGTCGAATCTTTTTGTAGGTTTTACATAAATGATTCGGCTGGTAAATAGGAGAGCAGCTGAAGTAAAGAAATATATTAAAATAAATTGTAGGGACGCGCAAGAACTGAACCAGCTGGTATTAATTGGAACTGGCAGGACTGCTGTAGATAGATGTCATCTTTCTGCGTAGTTCTTTCTTTATTTGTCCCAATACTTTTTTTTTTTTTTTTACCATATCAATATTATTACACATAATTTATGGATAATTAATTATTAGATTTTTCTGAATGTATGGACTGGATGGCTTGTTACTGTGAGTATTTGTAGTTGCACCATTAGAAATGTGATTACATAAAATGGAAGGTTTGATATGTGCATATAGATTTGCTAAACTGTGAAAGTGCAGAAGTATGATATTATTTATGATATGAAAACGAGGCACCAATGAAATAGCTGCAAAAACATGGAATTAGAAAAGTCAGCTGAGGTTTGTGGTCATAGAATAATTTGGCATGACATTATATAACAAAACTTGAATTTATGACTTTTAGACCTCCACGGATAATATTTACATTCTTGTTTTCAATTTATTTTTGTTGATTTCATGTGTTTAAATAAACTCCTTCATTGAAGGAACACTTCCTGTCAACCATATGGAGACACTTGGCTTACATGAAGGTAGAATAACACACCTTACATAAGTAATTAAACACCCAATTTTTCTTTTTCTTTAATTGTTTGCTAGGTTTCGGCTAGCGTAAGCTAGCTAGAACTAGCTAGCTTACAAACCAAACTTCTTTCTGTTTGTAGAAAACACGATTTGTTTAATAATTATTTAATCTAAATCTCAAATTCTTTAATACTTTATGTTTTTACCGTTAAGCAACAACAGAACGTTTATTTTAAAGTGAACCTTATCGCGTTAACATTTTGCTAAAAATTCAACAAGCCAGTCTGCGCCTCTGAACCACATGGGGTCGCTGTTTTACCAAGCACAAAACAATGTTACACAGTTACAACAGTTGGACAAATATCACTCTGAACGCACGCATTTTCAGCTAAATAAGTGACATCTATTCCCCAAAGACCTGGCAACAAATGAGTAAAAGCAGAACAGTTGGGGATATACGTAGCTCTTATCATTTGCTGCCTGTTTCTGGTGATAGACACAGTTGTCCCTTTCCAGCAGCAAGCAGGGCCTAGAATATAGTTTGAACCACCTGTTGTCATGTTTTACCAGTCCTCTCTGGGGCGACACTGGAAAGATATTAAAAATGTGCTTTGTTATCCTCTCAGGCTGTAATTAGCCTGTCTTCACTCTGACAGAGCCTCACAAGTTTTCACTGGGCCTGAAATGTTATCCCCCGGAGATAAAAGCGTGTCTATTGTTGACATTTACAGTAGAATAACATCAAGAGCTTTATTCCAAGGAGGCACACAGATCGAGTTAATAAGGTTTCCCAGACGTGGAGGAGCACCTGTTGCTGGCACTCAGCTCTGTCCTTTTCCAGGGATAACTCAAGACTTGGAAATACTAAATTATGCCTCCTTTAATTAAAGCCCTAAAAGTGAAGCCCAAACTGTTCTGTTTTTATGGAAACTTGCATCTTTGTAGAACCGTCTCTTTTCTCTGCTTTTGGGTCCTGCAGAGAGATCAAAGGTCAGATAAAGATCAACCGTTGACTCAACCCAAGACTTTCGATTTCTTAAATCTCAGCCAGTCATTGTTGGATTTATTTGTATGTTGGGGCTCATTGTCATGGTATATTTTAATCAATTTAATTTGTTTTTTCACAGATGGTCTCACGTTGCATTCCCAAATCATGACACCTTCACCTCCATGCGTCTCAGCTGGTATGACATTAATTTAATAAAATGCTATATTTGGATAATGCCAACATTTTACTTGTTTAAATGCACAAATAATGTACTTTTTGACATATCCCTTGAAAGAATAATATTCCAGAAGTCTTTTTCTATGTTCTCCACGGTCATTAATGTCTTAAGAAGCAAATGTTTACTTCTCTTAAACCTCCCATCAAAGTTAAATTGGTGCCTTCATATTAAAGATAAGAACCTCCTGGAGGGTTTTGAATACTTGTTTTAGCATCTTGCGGGCTTCTTTCAGGTTGAAAGTTGTTTTGAATGCCTGTCACAGGTAAAGTGTGACAGTCTTTTGGACAGTTTACTTTTGTAAACCCATTACCAGAATCATGGAAATCTACGATCAGCTCTGAGAGTTTCAGAGAGCTCTTTCTATCCCAAAAAACTGAGTTTTCAACAAAACAATCTCCTAATTTATTCCTCACCAAAATTTTAAAAGGTCTTGAATTTTTTTTCTTTCTTGCATGATGTCAAATAGTCATATGTCCAAATATGCTAGGAACACTTAGCTGCACGTTCAGCATGTCTTAGGGATAAAAACTGATCCAAACACTCAAAGATCACATTTTAGATATATTTTTCTAATTAAACAATGGTGAACATGTAACTAGAGGGAAATTGTTTAATTTCCCTATTATTAAAATCCTGCTAAGTGGGGGCTTACTCTGGTTAAGGAGGTTTTAAGCACTCTTTGGATTAACAGTGTGGCTTTTCACTTTAAGTGGAGGATCAGTGATTTTTCTAAGAGAATCACTGCAAAAGTTTATTTTGCTACTATTCCTCTGGTCATTACCAGCTGCTTTTCTACATCTTTCAGAGTATGCATGCTATTTGTGCTGGAATAATCTCAGCGATGCTTTGTGGGAGATCTGAGAACACAAGTATGCGTGCATCTGTTGCGTCTCTGAAATAGTCCCTCATTTTGTCCTTACAAAGGAATGAAGAGGCCCTTGGGGTCAGTGTAGGCAGCAGGAGGCTCTTCAGAGGATAAAGTAGGGGAGTGTTTATGACACGACTTGGCGGAGGAGAAAATAGACCCCTCCATCTGTCTCCAAATGGACCCTGTTGTTGACCCGATCCCCGGTGACTGCTGCTGTAGGATCACGTGATGAAGGAAACCTTTAAAACGTCCAACCTGCAGACCTAGACCTCCAGTTATTTTCTGTGCTCACAACTCCAGCTGGTCTGTTCTGCTCAGAGGATCCAACATGTCAGACACTGAGGAGATTGTGGAGGAATATGAAGAGGAGGAAGAGGATGAAAACATGCATGACAAAGGGTCCAAACAATGGTTTAAAACCACTTATATACCAAACATGGCTCCTCCAAAGCTCCCTGATGGAGAGAAGGTAGACTTTGATGATCTCCACCGGAAAAGAGTGGAGAAGGATTACAATGACCTCCAAACGCTCATCGATCAGCATTTCTCCTGCCGCCAGAAGGAGGAGGAAGAGCTGATTGCTCTGCGCAGCCGTATTGAACAGCGCCGCGCTGATCGGGCCGAGCAGCAGAGAGTCCGAGCAGAACAGGAGCGAGAGCGCCAAGCTCGGGTGGTAGAGGAGAGGTCGAGGCGTGAAGAGGAGGCCGCCAAGCTGCGGGCTGAGGAGGAGGCCAAGAAGAAGAAGATATTCTCCAACAAGTCCTTTGGGGGTTACCTGCAGAAGGTCGACCAGAAGAAGGGCAAGAAGCTAACAGCCCGCGAGGAGAAGAAGAAAGCCCTGATGGAGCGCAGGAAGCCACTCAACATCGACCATCTGAGCCAGGAGAAGCTGGTGGAGAAGGTGCAGGACCTGTGGAAGTGGCTCCACCAGCTGCACGCCGAGAAGTTTGAGCTGGCTGAGAAGCTGAAGATGCAAAAATATGAAATCCACGTTCTCCGGAACCGAGTCAGCGACCACCAGAGAGGCTCCAAAACGTCCAAGAGCTCCCGCAGGGCCAAAGGGAAAGCTGGTTCCTGGAAGTAAAGCTCAGGGTCCACAACAACTTAGAAGCTAAGGTCCGTTTGGACTTTTTGGTGCAGATGCCTTTTCAACTGAACACTCAGGGGACTGAAGGGAGTCATATGAATTAATTAATTAAATTGAGTCTTCAAAAAAAACAATCCATCTATAAAATGTTTTGGTAAATCTTTAAATTTTTCCTCAAACCCTCCTGAAGATTATTTCTGTTTATTGTTGACGCGCTAAGACTTGTGTACCTTTCATTAAAGCTATTCTGTCTATTTTTAATTTGTGACTGACTGACTGGTTATTGGTCTTGGAAACTTCTTGAAACATTTCCCTAAATTTGGGACGGGTCAAGTTGAAAGTCCAAAAAGTCAAACAGCTGCGACTTGGCCGGCTTTTTTTCTTTTTACAAGCTAATTTTGGTTCACAGACCGAGGAGCAGCATTCAATGTTTCCTCGTTATTCCTCTGTGAAACAAGAAGAAATTGGGTGCAAATATCAATGTTTCTGCACATTGTTCGAAGTTGCATAGTCAAAGTTTTAATCTGAGAAAGTTGTGTTTTTGTGTATTTAATCAGAGCAGCAGAAATGTTCTGAAAGTCCACACAAATTGAGTCATTTGATTTCATGACCTCAAATCTTTCAAGCATCATTTACCTATTACACCACATGTTACTCCATCTTTTATCACACACTTAAAATTTTCAAAAACACCTTTGATTTCCTCATAATTTCTTCCAAGCTGCCAGATTTTCTTAGAGTCTCTGCAAAATGGTGTCCAACAATGAACTAATGTCTCTAAAGGCAGAGGCAGAATTTTGCAAACTGAATATCGGAGCATTTTGGACTCCAGAACAATAATCTCTACATCGTCTCTCCATTACAGTAACTAAATGATTTGTCCACTAGATGGCAATACAAACCCACTTTGTAAACATTTAAATTCTCAACTATACAACTTAATTCATGTTACGTAAATTACATTTATGTAGAAATAAACTTATAATATAGCGCATGAAGCCAGTTTTATGTTTTTTCAGTTAACATAAATTTAATCCAAAATGTCCAGAAGAGCAACATTTGTAAACAACACAGCAACTCTGAGTGAGTACTTCTTAAAAGTATTTATATTTTTGCAGATATTTTAGGGAAATCCCTTCTTTTCACCAGCAGTAGCTGCAGAGAAGCCCAGCTCAGATAAATGAGTGGACACCTCTCCCCACTGCAGTTTCTGCTCTCCTAACTGTTGCTGTGCCCTCATGGCCGTAAGGAGCCATTAAACTCTGCCAGATGTGACGGCATGCCCACCAGTTGCCATGGAGAAGGGGAGAGGCTGCGTTTGCATCCAGGTCTCCCTCATGGGAGGTTAAAACTGTGCAGAGATGAAGAACAAGATGTTCCCAGAACTTCACTTGTTTGTGGATGTGAAGGATGCGGTTCATTATAAAACGCATAAAGTGGGTTGTGTGTGTGTGCGTGCGTGTGTGTGTGTGTGTGTGTGTGTGTGTGTGTGTGTGTGTGTGTGTAGGGTCATCAGGGGGTGGATGAGGAAGGCTGTTGTTTGTTAATTAAGCACTCAGCACAGACTGGCAGATAATGTGTGTTCTGCATGATTGACATTTCTTGAGCCAGACTTTCAACTCTAACAAGACTCTTGTTGTCTGGTTCGGTTCAGACTGGATTTCTTTTTTAATTAGGAGGAAGAGCTGCGCTCTGATTACTTATGAGGTGTCGTGTGTTGAGATAATTTGATTTATTCCACACGGTTCTGGAAAATATATTGTGTTTACATCATTAAGATGTTTAAAACTCCCAATGTATATGTATTTTTTTTTTTTTTGCAATAGATTAGCATTATTTTGAATACACTCAGTGGAGGTAATTGTTTTGCTACCACATTTTTATTTGAAATATGAGCAAGTTTAGGCAAGGAGCCATTTTATTAAATCAGTTTTTTTTTTAATTTAAGAAGATTAATGGCTGCCTTCACTGAATTGAATGTATGCCAATATTTGTGACGATTTCTGAAAGTGAACTTCTGTTTTCCATGTGATTTAAGGTGTCAAAGCATGCAGTGCTGACAGATGGTGGACATTTGCAGTAAACTACCTGCTGACATGCCAATGCTGGCCTCTGAGTCTTGATAGGTTTGATGTCACATAACCAAATTATTTTGGTTCTTTTGGGAGTAAAAATACTATAATAGTGGACAGCTATATCAATATCTAAAGGCCATTTTCTTGTGGATTTTTGTGCTTTAAATGCACACAGACCACTGAAGTGGACATTAGAGCGTCATCCAATAAACTGCCAACTACTGGTCATTCACTGCAAGTGCAAGAAATTTTTGTTAAATCCAATATGGCCAACAGACAAAATAGCTACTCAGGAATATCCAGTCCCTCCTTCTACTACTGAGAACTTTTGCAGTATTTTACAATATTATGACCTCCAGTAACCTCTAAAGACTAATACTACTGATTTATTGTCCAAATAACAACTTTGTATTTGGAGAAAATTACAACTGATCACCCAGAAAGAAATCCAAAAAATGTTTTTTTTTTTTTTTGCAATTTTCCCCCCCACCTTTAGACAATATGGGGGAAAAAAATCTTGACATAAAGGATCATAATTAATGCATAACAGGGTTCAGTTTTCTCAACACTCTTTTAAGAATGAAACAGTAATGCTGGTGAGACTTTGGTTATTTGGCAGTTTTTTTATCTATAGTTGTTTGTTTCTGGGGCAGATTTCTGTACCGTCTTATTCTAAACACACAATCACACAAAACGTCTTTTGTCTCTTGCTACCTTTGGCTTGAGGATAAATTATCTCTCCCCAGAGATGGAGCCATTCGGGTTTATCTGCAGTCTGCTTCAAATTGAGGAGGGAGTTGGTAACACTGAGGGGTATAAGGGAGATTTAGCCAATCCGGCAGGACATTAATCTCTGTGTGCCATCTAGGCAAATGTTCAAGCCACAATCCCCCTGGCCATATAAAGATTTAATGTTGTCATGTCCCTTATCAGTGCTGTATTGTAAACCCCAGGAAGGGTTTGTAATGTACAGAGTTTGAGTTCAATTCCTGTTGTGTCACAACCTTCATTCCTGAAATGTCCTAATATTAAAATACTTTTAATTGTTAATGTTAAAGTGAGATATTTGATTTTATTCATGCAATTTGTGATGGAAAGAGAAAGAAAAATAACTTTTTCTAAGAGAAATTGAGTTTGTTTAATGCGATTAATTGATTAATTATTTTTTTGCGTACAAGCACCATGCTGACCAGCATTAAGCTTCATGATATTGAGATCATTTCTGTCCAAATAAACCAGAAGGAAAAGTTGATCATGTTGTCTGAAACCCATTACTAGAAAAAGAGTGGAGCATTAATATTTATTGGACTGTCTGAGTCATAACAAGCTTGCGTGTGTTTTTTTGTCGTCACATATTGTGGGGATGCATGACAAATATAGACAGTTCCCACCACGATAGTGTAAAGATTAAACTTGGCATTAAAACAGGTTAAACTGTGACTCACTCTGTGGTGTGTGGGAGCTTTTCATTCACTAAAAGCCAGCGCTGATACAGTACAAACACCCAACAGGAGCCAGTTCCTGTTTATACATTCAGAGTGGAAATAAAGATTGTTTTGTCAATGACTGGAACAGGACTCAATAGCACCTGAAAAACCTCTGGTTTGATTATATAGTAGATGTGAAAAGAGTACGTACAACGAATAAAAAGAAAAGTTCCACTAACTTACAACTGAGATGATAAATCATAACAAAACCTTTTTAATGGAACATTTCCTGATCAATTCAACTGAAAAGTGGTTGAACAACCTAGTAGGATAGGTTAGCACACCTTTAAAAAAACATTATTGAAATACCTTTTTTTAAATCCATTGAAATAATTGAGTGTTCTTGAGTTCACATCTGATGTCATTTACAGTAAATCTGATTAGCTTGAAATAAAGTTAACGTTTTTGACATCTTCATTGCATCTTCTCATTTTCTCCAAATAAATTAAACATTTTTGCCTGGGATTTTGGAGACAGTTGTTCATAAAATAAAAGAACATGTCACGCCCAGGCACGGATGGACACAGGGACTGAACAGTGAATACCAAACCAGACGTTTATTGGGAAATTGCTTATTCTTGGTCAGACAGGCCAGGGTCAGAACCGGGAATCCAAATCGGGATCAGGCAATCTCAGGGTCAGACAGACAGGGGGTCGAAGCCAGGAGGTCCTTATCCAGCGGGGAGAGTCAGGGATCGGGGACAGGAGAGGAATCTAGGTAGAGACAGACAGGTTAGATACTGTGCAGTTAGCTCCAGTTACTACAGCAGGCCTGAAGGTGTTACCGCTGAGGGTTTCACAACAATCTGACGCCGTGCAGGAGGAGTTCCGTCCTAATATGGCAGCAGCTGAGGATCAGGCGGATGCCGATCAGGTGCGAGTGGTCACAGCTCAGCGGCAGCTGTGACAGAACATTTTGCTCAAACATGTACTTATAAAACGTAAAATCAGAGAAACAGATCATTTTAAGTAAATTTAAAAGAATAAAAAAATGGCAAGATACTCTAGACATTTCAGAAGGGGTTTCAAAGTTTATAAAATCTAGTTTTAGAAATTTGGACAGTAAAGTTTTTCCTTTCTAAGTCCATACACAGCATAATATCAGTTATCCAGAGTGAATGTTATAAAGTAGCTTTGTTGGCAATTAGTGATGGGGAAGAAAGGGTTTTGGCATAGTGACTGCAGCATATTTATTTTCTGAATTTACTTTTATCCATTCTTCTCCTCTTTCTCTGACTTGACCAGTGTGTCTGGTCCAAGTTGTGTGTTTATTTACTTGATTAGGAATGCCAAACTGCATGCTTGAGGACAATATGTCAGGACGTTTGTTTGCATTATTTGCTCGTAGTCGGTTGGAGACATGCATCTTCTTTTTTTCATACTTCCTCTCTGGTCTGGCAAATGTTCCCACCTGTTTCATTTGGACTCTGGATTTGTCTCCAGCTATGAATCACTGTAGCGCTGGGTGAGCCATACCTGTGTCGGAACGAGCAGCCTTGGCCAAACGCCTGCATTCGCATTCACGCACACGTCCTCCGCTGGGCGCTCTCTCCCGGCTGATTCATGACGACTCCTCCACCTCTGCTTGCCACGTAAATCAGCAGAGCAGCTGGAGAGAGGCCTGATCTCAGTGACGCTTCTCCCGCTAACCTGTTATTACAGCGTGTTCTTCCCGTCACCGCTGGCGCTGATGATAGGGCTGCTGCACACACCTGTTAGATCCAGCTTTCTCTAGAAAGCTCACAATGCCATTTATAAATATCCTGAAACTGAGCTGCATTAAAATCTGTATCAGTTTTTTGTTGCAGACAAGCAGAACAAAAAGGATCATGATGTTGGACAACAAATCTTTAGGCAATTAGCAAAAGTAACAAATGAATCTGCTTTTAATCTGTACCTCCAAGAACTGATTGGAAGCAAATTGTTCATATTTCTCATCATTTTAAAACCAGATATTTCCATACACTGAGTAAAAAGATGCACTGCTTGATATTAACAGATCAGTCAGAATTACTAAAATTATTTAATTTTTTAAATGCCACAATAATAAAACACAGAATTTGTGAAGTTTGCACACATTTCTTCAGTTGGTAGCATTACCATGTGTCAAACCTGAGATCCGGGGGCCAAATCTGGCCCGCCGTAGCTTTTCATGTGGCCCATTAGGCTCCAAATTACATCAATACGTCCTTCCAGTTTTTCTCAGAAGTCAAACAAAATCAACAAATTCCCACATTTGTTCTGATTTAACTGCATTTTTTTCTCAAACATGGTCAAAAACGTTGACTTCTGCAAGTTATAGTCCGTGATCGATACAGCAAGATATAGAAGCTTCTCTTATTTCCTTAAATAAGACAGTTTCCCCATTTATAAGTGAAATAATCTGTCAGCAGAACTAGAACTTTTTGAAAATCAATATTAAGGAATTATTTTCTTAAAACAAACTCCTATGTCATGCTGATAAGTTTTGTCTTAATTCAAGTGAACTAAGATATTTGTTCCAGTTTTGGCTTTGGCCTTAAAATACACACAGACATCATCATCTGGACTTTTCCCTAGTTATCATTCCATATGTTAATTTCTGATTTTTAAGACATTAATAACTAATATTCTCTTATTATTGTGCCATTTAGCACATAGAAATAATTTTGATATTTCTAACTGACCTAAAAGAGACATTTGGTCTGATTGAACTTCAGACAGTGAAGCGGAAAAAGAAGCTGTATCTTTTTGTTATTTTATATGTCATTTTCTGGTTTAGGTCCGCCTCACATCACTGAGATTAATCTTCATAAATTAAAGGAACGTGCAATTCGAGTGCTTCCATTCTTGCTTTCAGGATGAATTGAAATCATGTTTGCAGGGAGCGAGGTTTCTCTGTCAAGACGAATCAGATGAAGAGTGAAAGAGGATTCCTTTGGTTTCACCCAACGGGGAAACGTCTATTCACAGCCACTTTTATCCATACAACCCCTCTGGGTTTCCTTTCTCATTTATTAAAAGTGCTTCATAACAGTTTATCTCCTTAAAGCCAGTAATAGTGATAACTGGTGGCCCAGAAGAGGCATTTTTATACCTTAGTTCAGGTTGGATTAGAAATAAATTAAGCTTTATATGCAAAGCAATGGCATAGTATTAATCTTGTCATTTTATTTCAAATTATAAACAAAATAAATTGACGTACGACATGTGGTTGATTATGTAACTACAGATGGATATTCTCCATCAGGATCCACACGACACCCACAAATGTCTTTGAATCGTCAAGAAACTTTTTAGAAAATGTGATTAAAGTGGTTTGTTTTGATCTTCTAACTAATTTATTATTGCCAAATATTGAAAACTAGTCTGTAGTGCATTACTTCATGTTGCCAGGATGGTACTGAGGGCATAATATGGCTATTCTAATAATTTATTCATTTAAAAAGGGCATTCAACCATTTCCAGACTGGCTCAGATAGCTTTTGGTTTGATTTGATTTTAAAAAATGCTAAAACAGAGACTTTTTCATACTACTGTGCAAAATTTGCAGATCTCTGGTTTATTCCTTTCTTTTATGCTTTCTTTGTGGTATTTATTTATTGCTTTTCTCTGATATTTGCATAATTTTCATGCTATTATCTTGCAATATTGTGCTCTGTTGTTATTGTTTCTGCTTTGTGAAACATTTTCCATGAAAACTTAGACAAAAGAGGAGTGAAGGAAATGTGGGCGAGGGTTTGATTTTCCACCAGACGGAGAAATGTGTCGACAGAAAATCCAAATATGTGGCATTTCCATCTGATGTTCTGTAGATTATATGTCTACTCCTGTTTAGGATCCCCAGGATGAAGCCTGTTATCATAACCATATGAAATTTGCATATTTCTTGGAGCTTTTTATATTTTAAGTCATGAATTTAAATTTGATTTGTGGGTTTATGTCATGCAGCAACAAACTGAGACACCAGAAGCCATAAAAATAGTCATGAGGCTGCAGTGTTTGTGAGGCGTTGTGTAATAGTCTGTCATCTTCCCCCTTTAAATATAATTGTTCTCACATTAAAAGCAGCTCCATGTAGTTTGCAGGTTATGAATTGACTCTTGACCCTTTTGTGTGTCCAATGTGCAAATCTTCAAAATCACAGAACTTAAATCAATTTCCACTTTTTTGTTTGACGTCAAGAAGGACGATTACCCCGTCTGTGTTTCCACAGCTTTAAATACCAAACACAAATAAGCAGTCAGGAAACAGCAAAGCTTTAATTACACCCATCACCATGTGGAGCTATTAGACGCTAACTAAAGATACAACTCCACTCTAAATACAGGCTTAGCACTCAACAACAGGAAACTAATGCAATACCCTCCTTTTTCTGTTCATCTTGTGCTAACGATCAAAAGGAAATTATGGAGCAAATGATCAAAATGTCCTCTGGATATCTCTTCATCAAAAAGATGATGGGAGCTTTTTGTTTTATCAGAGCCCAAACCAAACTACCTTTTTCTGTCTGTTAACAAAGGTTCAAGGATGCAGCGGGACCTCAGTAACCTTCAGAGATGAGAACGATGCCGACGACGGCGCAGGGAAGAGGACAGACGGTCAACACACAAGGTGAGCTGGAGAAGGCAAAAAAATCCTGACTTATATGAAATGCAAACCAGAAAATTATTAAAAATTTTAGCATTATACTCGTATACAAACTCATACTCGGCTTTACGATCCACCAAAATAAATTTGAAAGATGAATTCTTTACTTTTCTGTTGAGCATCGTAAAATGAGGAATCAGAAAATTTTTGTATTTCAATATTCATGCAAGAATAAACTAACATTTTAAATAAAATGAAAAGATTAGAATCACTAAAAGAATCAAGAATACATTTACCAGTACAGTGAAGCCACTTGCTACTTGACATGCCATTGGCTGGCATTTACAAAGCAGCCAATCAGGGAGCAGCATTTATTTTCCTTGGTGCTTATTGGCTGAATTAAAAAAGCAGAAATATGGAAGAGAGTGGATGTTAGTTTCCGCAGTAATGCGGTCTCCATTTTGTATTTTAATACTTATTGACATCCATTTGATCAATGAAGGATTCAAATGTTAATTTATAAACGACATAAGAAATTTGAAAGTATTTGTGGTTTGTAGAAAACTAGAGTCCAAAGTAATGTGTTCACCTTTAAAGAATAACAAGAGAAGAAATGTTGCAAAGAGCAGAGCAAATGTTTAAACTGTCAGCAGTCGGCCTGTGTTCGACCTCTTCCCTCCTTCTGTTAGACAGGTGTAAAAAGTCCAGCCAGGTGACACAAGTGAATCACTGAATGATGATTTCACCTGCAGAGCAAAAGGTTTTTTCAGTGACATTAATTAAAAGTTCAGATGTGGAATAACAGTCAGTAAAATGTCATTTTTTTTTTGTTTGTTTTGTTTTTACTGTGAGCAGGAATGTTTCTGATCTATGAATTTATTTGTATTTGCTTGGATAATTTGAATTTGATGAAAAAAAATAAACCTTAACAGGAAGGATTTCCTCAAGGTTTAGGAGTGAGTTTTTGACCATTTGTGAGATCAGACGCTGATGTTGGATGACCCAGATGACACAGTCTCTGCTCCCATTACCCCAAATGTTTTTACATCAAGTTGAACTTCGAACTTTGTGCTGGTGACGTTCATTGTGAGGCACAGAAACCTGTGGAGTTACATGTAGAAACATATGAAACCAAAAATAGCAGCTTATGTTCCAATTTCAAACTCACCTGAAATGTTTAGTTGTTTTAAAAGCTTAAAAGGTCAAATTTTGTTTGTAGTTTTTAATATTTTTACATCTGGTCTCTTTTTTGTAATTACAACTGATCTCCCTTTTATTAGTAGATAAAGTCCATGTATATATCTGTCCGTTGTCCTTATCTGCGTCATTGGAGATGATTGGTAAAGACGAGTCGGTTGGGTTGGTTCTGTTCTGAAAAGACTGCATGTTGTCAGTCTTTTCAGACCATAGAAGAACACCTTTCAGCCATTGTGCTTAAGGGGCTCAACACTGCCCCCTATCAGTGTGGAATAGCAGAAGAGGCGCATTTATGGCGGCTTAGAAAGACTAAATACATCCCAAACATTCAGTAAATATATCAAATAGACTGTGGAATGTCGGCATTTTTTATCTTTTATTATAACTCATCTCTTAAAGCTTTCAAATCTGAGTTTTTGTCTGACTAGAACTTCTTAAAATTTTTCCAAAAAGCAAAAAAAAATTCCCGTTAACACCTAAAAGACAAACCATGACATTTTTATTGGTTTTTAAAATACATATGAAACAATTACAATAAATCAGATCTCAAATGTTTTACAAAAGTTATCACAAACTGTACACATCATGACATTGGCAGCAGTTATTTCTTGCTTAATACAGTTTGAACCGAATAGTTAAACAATTACAGCTCAAAGCTCTAGTCTCCTACATACAGAACGAGTTGATAAGTTAAGAGTTGGCTTCGCTGGGTTTCCCAGCTCCACTTTTTTGTTCACGACTATTACAGGACATGTAGAAATGTCACTTGAATACAAGTCTGAGTCTCTTAAAGTGTCACCAAACGATAGAAATACATTTTTGATGTCTTTGTTTTTCCACAAAATCACAACAACTTGCCAGGTTTCACTTCTTGGTATTTACAAACAGATCTGCTGACGAGAACAACCCTGTTTCCAAAACGCAGTTGGGTCTGTGTGGGATGTAATTAGAAGCAGAATACTGTATTACACTAAAAACGGGATTTTCTTTTTTTAATTTTGAAAATTGAAGTTTTGCTTAATCTAAGAGACCAGGAGGATTTTGTTTTCTTTTGCGTTCTCTCGCAATAACCTATTGATCAGTTCATAATTGAATACTGAAAGTCTTTCTTACGGTGGCCACTGTACGTTCTGCTATAACATAAGGTTTCCTTAAGGTTTTCCATGTATGTTAACAGATCGTTTGTGAGATATCTTGGTTTTATATCTTTTTCTTTAGCGTAGACATGCACCACAAACCACGAGCAAAATGCAAAAGAAAAGTAGGCCAATTATTGGCTTTCTATCTCTTCCCATCCCTTCTAAAATATAAGCAGAAACTTTTTCAAAGGAGGAAAGAAAAAAAATGCAACCAAACTATTTGGACTATTTCTGAGTTATTTTCATGGGGTAATAATCTCTGACAGTTTTGAATGGTTAATAAATCCATGTGCAATTCCATCTCAACCTCAAACAGACATGAACATGCAGTGAACAAATCGATTTTCAATTAAAGTTAAGAATTTAGAAATACGTTTTCAATGAGGCTCTTTAAATGTATGTATATTTGACATTTTAAACTGACATTTGTGACTGCGTACAAAGTAGACCGGGGATATTTGCTTATTGCAAGGAAATGTGAACGAAAATAAAAAGCTAAAAAGTGTTAATGTCTTTCTGCTTTTGGTTCTGTTCAATATTTGCAGTTTTGGCATCGGATCAATTCTTTGTTTCATGCATTTTACTTAAATAATTAAACAACATTTGCAATCAGTCAGTATTTTTGCAATATGCTTTCAGTAACATAGGGATAATAAATATATATTTTCTAGTTTTCTAGCATAGAAACCATGATAATTCATCAGAGAACTGCAGTGGATCCCTGTTATCTGCAAAATTACTTATTGAGTGATTTTTCTAACGAGTCTAAGTCCAAATTTTGTTGTGATGCCACTATAATACTTTAATGTTGACGTCATCTGAACATCGCAGCATTCTGCTTTCTATTTACACAGTCCCAACTTTTTATGAAACAGAGTTGTGTGCACAGGATTCTGTGCATTGATATCTACACAACTGTAAACACAAAATGTAAGATTTTTAGAGTTAAACATTACACTCTTTTCCCTTCAGTAGGTGCTTTTTTTTATTTAAAGTGGCAACAGGCATGCTACAAGTAAAAATAGGACTTTTTTCATACTGAGGATAAAGCAGAAGGAAAGCATCATATACTGCATGTGCATTAAGGTAACAGTACATAGCCTTTCTCTAATTGCTAGGCTGAATATTTTATTATTAACACGAAGATTTCAGAAATAAATTTGATATGGATGAATTCAGAATGTTTCCCTGAATTTATGACTATGAAGAATATTTAATTAAAAAAGGTTTTTGTTCAGTCTCCCAATTCTTCAAGTAACGTTTAATTCAATATTTGAGATAATCTGTTAATGTGGGATTGGTTTATGTATATATGCAGATAAAAACGACCCCTTCTTACCACTTTTAGATGTTTGATCATTACTTTGAACTGTCGTTTTGTGACCATACAACAACTTGGAAAATGTCCATCCAAAGAATTGCGATATTGTTGAAACTTGTAGCAGAGTTTTTTAAAGAGAGCAGCAATTCCCTCAAATCCCATCATAATCCCTTAATCAATTGCAATAGGACATTTTATATTTTCAAGACACATCTTTGATGCAGTGGATGAGTTTGTAGCTGCTGTTTAAAGCTGTAATGTCAAAATGGACCCTTTGATTGATCAAATTAATTAGGAACTAAGGCAATTTTACAGGTAAAAGGGGGAAATGTACTCACTCCTTACAGCTCTATAATCATCCAGTTTGGAGAAAAAAACAATTCAAATAGATCAGTAAAAGCCCCAGACTAATGGAAACTTCTAACCAACTAAAGCTAAATCAATAGAGTCCTCAGCTTTACTATGAAGGAAGTACAAAATAAAGTTTTATTTGTGTTACCTAAATACTTTAGTGTCAGTAAAAAAATAAATACTCAGCTTTTTTATTAGATTTTGCGATTCAGTTTGGCTTTCAGAAACTAACAGCACAAAACAATTTCAGACTAACTTGTATTTCATTGATCTCTGTTGCTCTGATAATTTGTTTGCCACTCATTCCTGCAGCAGCTGTTTCTCTAAATGTGATGGATGAATTTTCTGAATTTTACTCAGCGCTTGCAGATGTTTAGCTACCTGCAGACATCAGATGGTGACTTGTTTATTCACTAAATGTTCCCATGGCTCTGAGTGGCGTAGCCCTTTAACTTTGTGCCATTTCAAATTAAAATAGCAAAGGCTAAAAGAGCTTAAATACTGAAAGGTATTAAATAGTTGCACATGAACTATTATGGACTCCTTGAAAAGACTCTTGTTATTAATATTATTATTATTGATGTTATCTCTGTAAATAAACTGTTGAACTGTGAGCGTTGTGCATAGCCGTCTCCGTCGGATTCAATTCCCAGAACAAATGATCAGCTTTCCATCCCTGTGCCCTGCAGAACAGTAAATATCTCTGGTTTCCCACAGCAGCGATCCTCTGACTCTACCTGGAATCGTCAGGGAGTCTGCAGAGGTTTGGGCGAAGGACACGAACCTTGACTCTCAAAGCTTGCAGCTCTTCCCTGCCACTGCAAGGCAAAATATAACAGAGCAAAGTTACTGAGGCATTGGGTTTGATTTTGGGAACTTATCTGGTATTTCTGTAGCTTTGAGGACTCACTGTGATCAGAGGCAAATAAAACCTCAGCCAAATAATATTAATAATGGAAACATACCTGAAAATTTTTGTTTAGATTAAGTCCCCAAAACAACTTTAAATGACCTTCAGAAAGTCTGTCAATTATCTTTTAACACCGTTAAAATATAGACAACACTATTTCTGTTGACCACTGATAATTTAGAAAAATGTAAAGTATTAAACTAAGAAAAGGCCCAATATTTCCTTGTTACAGCCACATCTAATTCAACGACTCAAAATCATAAATGTCATAACGTTTTCAGGTATAATTTACTTCAGATGCTTGAAAATTAGAGTTTACCAAGAAAGTTCTTTGTGCTTTTCAGAAAAGTTTCTTGCAAGTTTTTGGAAAGGTTTTTTATAAATTTAAGTAAAATTATTTCCAAGGTTTTACTTTCAGCTCCACAGCAACTGCACTTAAATATATTTTAGACAGGACTAGTGAGAATAAGGTGCATGTTTTGTAAATTATGCAAAAGTGTCTTATCAGACCTGAGAAAATATCCTCTATATTTTCAAAATAAACTTGTAAGTTTAGAAAAAGTGGAGTCTGAAGTCAATAATTTACATGGAAATAACGGATAATTTCTGGAGACGTTAATGAAAACTTACAGAGACATTTATTAAGATTTTCTATGATATTGTGCAACCCTGAAGGACAGTGTAATCTTCTTTAAAGAAGCCAGGAAATGGCATGAATATAACCAATAAGATCTGTAAAAATATGTATATTTTCAGCAGTTACTTTTGAGCTGAGGGAAAAGGTTTTAGATGCGTTTAAGAAAAGTGATCTGTAGGTTCAGAACTAACCTTTGAGTTTAGAAAAGTATAGTTGTATTATTTAGCAACAAACAACTTAAATGAAAGCAAAACTTGAATCGTATCAAAAACTTACGAACACAAATTGTAAAATGCGACTTTCTGAAACATCTCTTAGGATCAAAACACAATTTGTTTGGTCAGTTGAATAATTATTTTTTTCTATTTTGCCTTTGATCACAGTTTTTCTTAAACTAAAGTGTAAAACAGTTTTGCTACTGAAAATATGCAATCACCTGTATTTTCCTATTCATCAGGTGGAGAGTAGATGTGACAAAAGAAGAACAAGAAATTAATTACACTAACGTCAGTGAAGCAGCTCTCTTATAGAAGAAAAGTTTTTGTTTCATTTGGTTAAAGATGCAAAAGTAAAATGAGAAAAACTTGAAAGAAATCTTGTTTTCTGCATCTTTTGCTTACACGTAATCTTTTTGTTTTTGTAAGATTTTATGCCAAAAACAGAATTTTTCAGAGTAGCTTTAAATGTCTCCATGCATCGACAAGCAGCTGCAGATTACTCTCCAGCTGTGCTTTTGGTATTTCAAACTTCCATTAAAATTATAAAAAAAGCTGGAAGTAAATCTTAGAATTAAATATTCGGTTGTTCTTCAATGAGTGTTTTGGCCTGAAAAGACAAAATCGATCAATTTTTAACATTTGCCGATTTATATCCATTCAACTCAAAGAGTTTGAGAAAATTCTGGTAAATGTTGCATTCAGGAACCTTTGTGAATCTGTATGTTGAAGCTCCTTTCACTCAGGAATGAAAAAGTCTGAATTAAAAGAGGGGATGATTGCGTACCTCTCCCAGAGCGTGCCAGTGTGTGATGGGCTTTCGTGGGTAAGCCAACATTTCGTTCCAGTGATCTCGTCCAAGGCCCACAGCATCTGGGCCGGCTCGGCACACACCAATCACCTCATTGTGTCCAACCCTGTTATGAGTAAGGCACTTACATTAACATGCACCTCAATTTATAAAGCAATGACTTTCCCAGGCCTAAAAGGAAAAATAAATAGTTTTGAAATTCTTTTGGGAAAGAGCAGTTGCGATTTTTAAAACTGAATATTTGAATTTGCTCTGGTTGGTGATCAACAGGTTAAATACATCAACATTTTCATTTTATATCATATTAAAAGATGTAAAAGAGGAAGAGCAGGCATCAACATATGAAGGCTGTAAGTCATTGCTGCGTTTACACATTGAATGCCACAAAAGACCTTTTTAGTTTGCTCATTTGTGACCCATATCTATAATTTTCATGGAAAGCTCATTTCACTCTTCAAGAAAATCAGACATGTGCCACTTCCTTAGGTGGTGGGTATGTATCCAAGCATCAGCAGTCAGAAAGGCCATGTCACTTTTTATCCGACTTTTTAATGTAAAACAGGAGATATAGTGAGTCTTCAACTTACCGATCGTAATCCATCACCATGATGGAGAGACTGACTTGCTCCACGTTCTCAGGGGGAATGTCGAAGATGATGGCCTCGTTGTAAACTGGATTGAGTGTGCTTTTCTTGGTTGTCGTTTTCCTCTTCTTCAGCCTCCGTCCGTTACACACCAGGTAAACCTTCACATACGGATCTACCTTAGACAAATGTAGTGTTTTTAATGTGCTGAATTTGACTGAAGCAAGAAAAACCAAAAAGGGAACATCTAAGAAAATACATTCTCTCTCTGGAGGTTGAAACAACAATTTTATCTTGCGTCTCCTCCACTTTTTCCGTCGCGTTTCAGTTAATTTAAGCTTGCTTTGATGTGAGCTTTATCTGCGGTCGGGTTACCTGAAGAGCCTGTGATGTCCATGGCTTTGAGGTTCCTGCATTTGATGACTGTTAGGGTCATTCTCCCCGCTGTGGGCAGGTAGCACAGCGAGTACATGATCTCGCCCAAGTCGATACTCTCCTGCAGCGACGGAGAGGAGAGAACATAAAAAAATTTAGCATGCTTTGAATGAGCAGACCTCATTCTGTGAATTAAAAAGCCGGTAACATTTAAAGCATTGTAGCTGCGATCACACGGGAAGTGACCCAATTTTGATTTTTATTTTTTATTTTTGCTTCAATGCGACCTGTATCTGATATTTTCATGACAGTCTGAACAACAAGTTTGCCTTATTTTTGTTATTGCAGTTGGCAAAACACCGAAACTTTGCATTCATAGTCATCAGACCAGAAATTATTGTAAAGTTAAACAACCAAGTTTGCCTTTCTGTCCAGCGATGAGGTTTTAAAATATTTTTCGGTCAATATCTTAATGATAACTAATCTTGTGCAGTTGCACCTTGACAGTATGACATGTTGACAACTAAATTATATCATCATTTAGATGCTGCTACTTAAAATTTGTGTGTTTTATGACACAAAACTTTTAAATGTAGCACACAAACAACAAAAGAAGTACTCTTTAAGAAGGCAAATATTCCAAATTATAACATCAATCTGGGATTTCAAGTCCCATTACAAGCTTCTATCAATTTTAGATAGAGTTCCCAAATAACAAGACAGTCTACAGCTTGAAACAACATTCTGCAGAAGAGTGAAACCCCAGATACAATCTAGTATTGTTTTTTATTTTTAGTATTGAGTATAAAAAAGTGAAATAAGAAATCTGGGGAATGGCTGCTTCAGGGTTTAGATAAGAAAAAGTGTCTAAAGCATTTGGTTTTCTTATCAGAATCTGAGATGCCAATGCATCTATCTGCAAGGTCACTGCAGTTTCCTCACCGAATGTCGGAGAAACATTTAGAACATGGAATCTGAATTTTCCACATACTCTGCAATGCATTGACTTTACAATGAATTTAATTGTCATTCAAATGGAAATAAACAAACTTTCCATAAGCTGATGCACTTTTAAAGACTGTATTGCAAACATCCTAATCTTAGTGTTTGTTTTTAAAGTACTAGAAGCTGTTACCTTCTGGTGTTTTAGAGACACCAACTTGTAATCAGGGTCACTTCTGTGTGCCAACATTTTCTGTAACTTCAGGGAGCAAACAGCAGAAATCTTCATAAAAATGTAGCAGCAAACACCATAAAAGCTTTTTAAAGCTGTTTGCTTCTTTAGAAAATCTCTGATCTATTTGTTCATTGGGTTCATTCTGTGTGAAACTAAATCTTAGGTTCTCAGTTGCTTCAAAATTAGTATGCATTATAAACATAAACCCGGCGTTCATCGCAATAAATGCTTTCGTTATTAAAGAAGGGCAATGTGTGATAAATGTTGGTGTTAAAGAGATAAATACTTTGTCTATCAGGAGTAGTTTATAGCTGTGAAGTCTGGATTTTCAGTTTATTTTGTTGTTATAAATCCACTGTATCTGCTGCTGGATATTTTTACTCGCTGGTTATATTTATGTGTGCAGAATACCCAGCAGTTTCTGGAAAATGTGTGTGGGTGTCTGGCTGATTAAATGCATTTCCCAAAGCGTTTGAATTATGTAATGCGTTCCACCTGCTTCATATGTCAAGCACTGCTGAGGATTTCAGGCTCTCAAGAGTCGATTGGTGCGATGTTTACTGATGAGAGCTTTCTAAAAACATCATAAATACCCTATTAACAGAATGTTTACCCTCAATGGCTGCAGTCATACTCGTGGTAGCAGTAATCAGAGGATTTGGCGAGGCTTTATTTTAAGCTGCTACTCACTGTGGTTGCTGCGTGGATATCCTTCCATACTACTGCCTCCCTCGACAGATCAGACAGTTCAAAAAGGTTGTCCACCACGACTTCGCCAATCATGTCGTGGCTTGTGAAGCGGTCAAAGTCGTAGACGCTGAAGTGCAGCTTGCGGTTGCAAAGCTCGTCGTACGCCACGGGGAAACGGAAGGTCTCATCGAACGTGGGGTTCAGAGTCTTGCGGTGCACTCGCGTCTGGAACTTCTTCTTCCTCTCTGGCAGCAGGTAGATCTTCACGTACGGGTCGGAGGTGCCTGTGAAGTCTTTGGCCGGTAGGTCCAAGGCCTTGAGGATCCTCACCACTAAGGCCTGCTCCTCGTAGTCGTAAAGCAGCGAGAAACTGAGCTTCCCACAGATTTCCACGTGACCTTTAGCCTCATCCTCAGAGTCCACAGACTTCTGCTTGTACAGTTCTGGTTTTATTCTTCCGATGCTCACCGTAGACGACTGGCGGAGAGGCACTTTGTCCATGCTGAAGTCTACGCTGCTGACATTCATTTGGCGAGGGAGGTGGCGGCGGAATGAATTGTGCCTGTGGAAACAGTTAGAGAACATTTTGTGAACGTCTGATATGACGGCTCAAGTTTTTTTGAAGGAGTTATGAATGATTAGTATCTCACCTGCAAACACAAACAGAGGATTTCTAATGGTGTTTTTCAAGGAAACATCTATTCAAACTTAAGATTTGTCTTTACACCTAAAAAACTTTGGGATTTCACATGAAATTAGGAGCACTGAACATCTCCAGCTTTAAATTAAGAAGTTAAAGGAATGACATTTATATTATCTGTATTATTTGTTTATATTATCTACATAATTTGTTTTACATTGGCAGTTATACTCATAACTGCACTGATGGGACAAATTGAAGTTGTTTTTCCAAAGTTGCTTGAGGAGCTGCTGGTGTATTTAAATGAGAGTTATTAATAAGTTACCAAACAAATTAATTCAGTTCATGTTTTAAAAACAAAAGTTTTAACTTAATTCTTCACTGTTTTCTGCATCGGGTTGGTATCAATCGACATGATTAGAAGTGAAAAAAGTGAACTGAACACAACTGGTGCCAGTGCAAACATTATTCAGAAGTGGTTTTGGTTCATTTCACCATGTTTACACCAACATAACATGTTTTTAAAATGCAAGAATAAATGGCAAGAAAGAAAAAAACCCAAGAGCAGCTTCGGTGGTCCTCTATTAAACTTTATAGATTGGGTTATGTCTTATGTTTTGAGATCTTTTTAGCATTTTAGCAACAAAAATATGTTCAGTCACATTCATAATAGAACAAAGAAGGCGATTATACCTCCAGGTAAAGAAAGAATGGATTGGATAGCTGTTTTCCCCCCTTAAATTGTCATTTAAATAAAGTACTTTCATGCAGTTTGACGCAAAAAGACTTTTTTCTTTATGTTGTACGGAAAAAACAGTTAAATCCCATGGATTCAGATTTAGACCCATTTACCAATTATGTTCCTTGTTCAGATTTTGGTGAGACATCCTCAGACAAAACTCTGCTCAAGTCTCCAATCTTGTCACTTAGCAACTGGCCCTTCTGCTTTCCGACAGTCAGACAATCACAGCAGAGGCACAAATTATACTGCATGGGAAGCACAGCGGAAGATTAAATGCAACACTAAAGCATAGTAAACAACACAGGGAGGCTGTGCAGCTTATGTGAGGCTAAAGAGAAAATTATCACCATAAATTTTACTTACTTTGCACCTAAATATTTGTCATGATTTTTTTTTACCTCTGTTTGCAATTCCACTTCAACATAAAATTCTTAAAACTGGCACTTTTGTGGATAGTTAACGCATTACCAATCTGCAGCTGTAGAAACCAGTCTGTGCTCAAATACAGACAAAACGCAGAGATATCTTTTATTGGCCTTTAGAAGGTACAGAGGAAAAACTGCTTATCCTGTCAAGGTCGTGGAAACAATTTAGTGCAAGTAACCATTGGAAGCATCGAGCTAGAATGGTTGGTGTGTTCTTACGGTGGCCTGGAGGTACAAACCACTTCAGCAAATTGAAAGCACAATTACAACAGCGCTACAACATGAGCAAAGCGGAAGAGCCCAGTGGGAGACCTAAGAAATTGCTGATTGGACTACAACTCATTTTTACTTTTGAACAAGAAGTTACTCTGGCTAAAGATACATGACTTTGGTGGATGATGCAAGCCTGCATTTCACTGAAACTGAAATATGACCAAGTTTGCAGAAAGACCTGAATCTTCTTTTAAACTTTGCCTTCAATTTAACTGAGAAGTGTGATGAAAAAAAGGAGTCAAATTCTTTTAGTGTTGGATTTTTTTCCCCTTCCCAACACAAAGTATGAAATGTAAGATTGGATTAGAAAAATCAGCGCAACATCACCTTAATTAATTTCAGCCTTTTTAAATTTTTTCTTTACATCCTTTGCGTTCTTTCATTCGTGTTGTAGTGCTTTTGTAATTTGTAATTGTGCTTTCGATTTGCTGAAGTGGTTTGCACCTCAGGGCCTCCGTACAAACTACCAGATGAGCAGGATCGTGGGATTGTGCTGTGAATAAAATCTTTGTTGCAAAAGTAATTTCAAAATGTTGACCTGAGACTTAAACGGATCCAAGATTAACTGAACATGTTGGCCTAAATATGTTGCAATTTTCCTGTTTATGCCAAACAGCAAAACTCATAATTACTTCAAAAAATCATCTTTTGTTATATTTTTCGTGCCATTTTTTCACTGCTGGGTTGATGAACTGGAATCCACAGAGTAAGTCTAACTCTGAGTTAGTGTTTACATTGCGTTTGACTGTGGTATTTTTAGATAACGCCACACTGTGTCACTGTTGGCAGGAATTAAAAAACAAAAAGAAAACGGCGAGGCGAATCTGGATTGCTCTCCACACGAAAGATTGGTCCACCTCCAGTTGAAACATAAAAATAAAAAAATAAAACACATTCCCCCATCTAAAAATACTTCTCACAGTGTGATCTGTGTTTACTCATTACTCAACGTATTCAATCGATGCTAGATTCAAACTGTGTTTCATTAAAATGTGAAGCCAAAGCTCAGTGAAAACATGAGCGGCTGCTATTTTTTCCAACAAATCAATAGCTCCTAATAAAAAAAAAAACGCAAAACGTCAAGATTGTTTTCATGCTCTCTTTGGTTTCATAACATCCCCAAGCTGAGCGATCGGAGGAATTTCTTAGAGAGTGGCCTGGCTGTCAGAAAAGTGGGAGGAAGGCCTGTGAAAGTGGGCGTCGTAATCTCCGGCTCGGCCTCTCGGCTTGACCGGTGGGTGTGCGATTCATGAAGACCTTGGCTGCAAAATAATTGAATTAATGAGCTTAATGACGAGCAAAAAGCAAGTGTCAATAGCGGCTCCCTGTGAGAAGCCGATCACAGCTGGCTGCTGCGTGTCACCAGGAACCTGCCCTTCCACCATGACAGCTCCGGCCTGCAGCTCTGCTAATTATGGACGTTCTAGTTTAAACACAGAGCTGGGGAACAAAGGGAAGTGAGAGCTGATTGTTTAATGACTGGGGTTTCTTCCCGACGTTGCTATAGCAGCTCGACTCTCACGCACAAGTGATTATAGGGTTCGAACCAGATGTTAGATATGCTATAGAGCATCACTTTCTCTGTATTGTTTCAGTTTGCCAAGGTCACCAGGCAGTCAGCGATGATTTGCACGACCCGTGGCAAACTACCTCAAGGACACAGTCATGAGCCGCGTTCGGTACAGAGGGAGGGAGCCGTTTTGAATATTTCTTGGAGAGGATAATGCAAACCAAAGCAGAAAGAGGCTGGCATGAGATCTTTTCTTCTAAATTACGTGCAAATATTCATCCCAACACAACAAACAGACCTGCAGAAATTTGCAACAAAACAAATCAATAACAGTTTAAAATGTAACATGAGGTTTCACCAAATTAACTCAGCTTCAGCAACTTTCTGCTGCAAACATAATTCATGACCAGACAACCAACTTCTAGCAGCTTTTCTGAGGAATAGTAGGCAAATATTTCATGTTTTCTAAAATTCCTGGGTTTGAGAGCTTTTTTCCAATTTCACCAGAGATTTTAAATCCAGTACAAGTCATGAAACTAAACCTTGGTTGACTTTGATGTATGCAGTTTTCTTCCTGTTTCAAGGATTTTCAAGAATGTAAATTTTGAGACGTCAGAAGTCACTGAAAGTCGCATTAACAGTTCAGTTTTAGTTTTGACTGAACTGTTCTTGTGTTTTTTTTTTGTTTATTGCAAACACTTGAAGAATTTGGGATTCTGCCACAAAATCTACTTTGAATTATAACTGCATGGCATATTATTGATATGAAAACTGTGATATGCTTTTATTTTGTTTAACTTTTGTACTGAAGTTAAACAAAATATATCTATCTACTTCAACTCTAAAACTAAGCTTGTAATTTTTTAACATGTTTTTGGCAATGACCTGGTGACATTGATCTATATTTAAGGTGTACAGGGGAAAACAACTGTTGCATATAGATGAAAGCTGCCACGTTTTTACCAGAGTGAACAGTTTCTCAGTAAGGGTGCACCGATTTATCTGTGCCGATTTTCTGAATTTTGGAGATCGGCGATCGGCCGATTTTTACATGAGAAGCAGATCTTGATGATTGGATTTTCTCCATCCACCTTGATGGAGTCGTTCATATTTGGTAAAAAGGATTATTAACAACTTTGACCATTTAGATGCACAAAATTGATGACAACAAGCCGCTGAAGACTTGTAGCTTCAACTGCACTGAAATATGAAGGAAACATCATGATGATCTGTTGCACAAAAATTCCAGAAAATCTCTTAAAGTTTGTAGTTAGAATCTAAAATGAAGTGAAAAATTATTTTCCCAGGTGTTGCATATATGAGAATAGTTACTTCCTTTTAGTTTAGTTACAGCAGCAGGTGGGGGAGGGGCAGTGCTGCATTATTGAAACCTCACTCCAGCCCATTAAATTAATTCTAAATCATTGGAATGATGTGGGAAACTGAGTAGTTTTCCCATCCTGGCGCATACGTGAGCAGCCTGGTGGTGTTTAGAGGATGCAGCGCTGCGTTTGCTACCTGGAGGAGGATGTTGGCTCAGTCGTCTGCCTCTGGATCTTCGTCGGCTGTTTGCTGATCTTCTCCCTCAGGGCTGTTTGCACCTCTGCAGGGATGTCTGGCGACGTCTGACTGATCTTCATGGCTCCTTCGAGGTACTTCACGTTGCTCCGTCCGTTCACTTTCACCTCCGGCGGGTGTTTCTTCTCCACCTCCGCCACTTTGCACTCGACGACCGGAGTGGAACTGGGAGGAGGCGCCTCGGGGAAACCCACGTGGAGGCCATTTTCGGCGTGGGCCGACAGAGTCTTGCTCCTCCAAATGGGCCAGCACAGCTTCCAAAAGACAAAGAGAGAGACTACGAGCAAGGCGAGGCCACAGAAACCCACGACCACAGCGAGGAGACTGATGGAGATGTCTGCATTTATTAAGCCACAGAAGAAGACGAGTGACACAGGAAAGATATGACGGACAAACGTGCAGAGAAAGAGAAAACAGAAGAGAAAGCTGTAAGAAAGCTGGCTGCATCTGCAAAGTGTCACAATGTCAAAAACACATTTTAAGAAATTAGAAGATTCAATTAAAAAAGTAAAGGTTCATTGCATGTAAACAGTTTTAACCCAATTGTTGATTTTGCAGATCACAGTGCCAGCTTTGAATCAAAATATATTCTGGTATTATATGACAATGATGGAGGAACAGCCTCCATCAGGAGGGTCTGCCACAAATTACGACTTAAATTAACTCAAAGTGCTGCTTTCAAGCACATTTGTAGAAATTTAGTGGAAGGAAAAAATGGAATGAACAATAAGATGCTCAAACAACAGGAACACCAACAGTATTGAGAATATTGTGAAGCCAAACCCAATAAAGAGTTTTTCATATATCTATCTACTTCAGGAATTAATGATTTTTTTTATTGATCATTAATCACTTTTAGTTAAACTCATATCAATGCATTGAGTTACTATCCAAAACAGTTTGGAAAGCTGGATTTTTAATAATACTTTAGTTTTTAGCAGAATCAAGCTGTTCATTAGAAGAGGAAGTTGTTTTACAAAAATATTCTTGTAATTATGTGTATTTATGGTCTGTAGTAAATCAACTGACCCAACATAAATATCTCATTTTTTAAATCCTGATCTGCTCTAAAGATCTTCAGTCAGAACAAAGTCTCAGTAAATGATGATTTTTTTTTTTTTTTTTTGGACAGTTTGAAGCATTTTTACAAATTTTCTATAAGACAGCAAATCAAATGCCAACATAATTGATCTATATTAGGTATATAAATATTCAAATATTTTCACTTTTGGGGAATATTCTCATCTATTGAGTTGTGTCCTCTTGGCTCCTCCCCTATTAAGCTGCAGCTCCAGACCATAAAACACCCATCATACAGTAAAAACGTAATATATCATTTAAAGCTATTAGAGCTCTAAATTAATTGTAGTCTGTATTTAATATTTAAACTATGGGACTTTTTGACCTCCACATCTTCCTCTCCTTCCACCCTTCATATCCCTAAAATAATAATATGAAAGAGTGAGAAGGGAAATAAAGTAAAGAGAAAGAGAGGAACGTTGCAGCTGTTCTGATGCACCTGTTGCAGACTGATCGGTGTGGCGTAACAGGCAGTTTCAGAACATGATGAACTAAACACAAACTGCTTTTCTGTCGTGATTCTGCTGCGCTCGCTTTCTTTACTCCAAAAATGACTAAAAATACATAAAAAGAAAAAACTTTTTCTCACAATTTACCTGCGTGTCCTTTACCTTGTATGCTGCTCTCCAAGGGGAAAATGTCCGCGCATTTCTCTCGGTCCACGTGTCCCGCAAGGCAAAGTTCCGTAACGATCTGCAGAGCCCTCTGGCACAGGGTGATGCTGTCATCCGCTCGGACACTCATGTCTCTCCTGTTAAGCCATTGCACTCCAGAGGAGCCGGGAGGGCGGCGGTTCATTTGGGCACCTTTCTACGCGCCGCAGACAGCAGGGAGGCGCGCTGCGTCCTGATCCATAACCAGCGCGCAACGCAGCGGAGGCAGAGGAGCGACTGGCCGCGCCGCGTTCCCGCGATTAGAGGAGCAGTCAGCGGGGTGACGGAGTCCAACCCATCCGCTGCACCCAATAGCAGTGCGCCTCGGTTTGGTAGTGAATCCCGTTGGCTGCTGGTTGTAACGAGATTACTTTTTCTGGTAATGACTGGAGTTCTCCCTATGAGCGACAGACGACCTGTGCGTGTCCCCGTCTGCAGTCCAACACATGCTGGATTATAAACTCCAGTCTGCAGCCCGGTTGTCTCTGGATGGTCACCAGAAGTTTTAGTATTTGTGAAAAAAATCCAAATTATTCTAATGATAGGACATAATGTTCAGGGCATGTCAGCTTTTAGCAGGTATAAAACAGTTTGTCACATAAATCGCATGGATAAACTCTACTTGACCTCTTTGTAATATTCATGCACATATGCTGCCTACCAAAACAATTTCCACTCTTTGTGACGTTTCAACCAAACATTTATGCATTAGATCAACTCAAAATAGTGCAGAATTATGAAGAGAAAGAAAAATCTTCCAAATTAATTGTTTCTGACATCCAGAAACCAACATTTCTGAAACTCATCTTTGCAAAATATCTGAATCTCAATCAGATTGGATGAAGATTTGAATTTGCTATCTTGGTCACAGATCCGGACCTGTGTTTTGTCCTGAACTTTGACTGAAAAACACGCAGATATCTGTATTTTTAAAGTTGTTTTTCTGCTGGAAAGAGAACATTTGTTTCAGGCTCATGTCAGGTATTATCTTCCAGTTTTGTGAAACAAACTTTTCATCAACAATGAAAAGTTTCCCTGTCGGTTAAATCAGGTTTTTGGCTGATTTGACCACAGGCTCAACTTTCTTTGGATGGGATTTTAAAGTTTTCATTTAGAAACCTGAACGTTAATCTTCATTTAATTAAAATAATTTATAATTTTAAGTAAAACAGTGTTTTGCAGCTGATTACAGGCTGAAGAACCACTACTAATCATGTTAAAAGGTGTAATCTTGTAACAATGTGTAATCAGTGTCATTTAAGCACTTCAGTACATTAATGCTTTGATTAAACCTAGAAAATGATTCAAAATGCATTCTTATAACCTAGTCGGCTTTCTTACATCATGTAATGATAAAAATCTTAGGAAAATTAGATCAATGTAGTCCAAATTTAACATAAAGGTTAAAATACAATAAGATCACAACAAGATGCAGCCGACAAATCTGCAGCAACCATCGTGTCAGTCTGGACCAAAATGTGTTCACTCTTTCAACAAGGAGTTTAGGATTACATGTTTGGTCTTAACAAAAGAGAACGCCATAGAAAAAATGGCTGACGGTGAAATTCAGGCTTTGTTTAATCCATTTTAAACTGAAAAAATAACGTTGGATTTTTAACAAGGCAGTGCAAAAATAACACGTTAAGCAGGATTAAGACATGAGGAACACGGAGGATAAAAAAGGATTTTTTTTCCCAGCACCATAGAAGGATGATTATTTAATGTTTTACCAAAAGTGGTGTTAATATTATGATTGTCCATTTTATTCATTTCTGAAGGTCAGAAAAATTGTCCAACTTTGCTAATCGGACCTTTAAAAACATCCCAGTTTGCATTAACCTCATAAATAATAAATAGTAATTTATTATCTAATAAAATAATTTAATCTTACTTTATTGCAATAAACATACAAACAATTGAATTATTTTGATGTCTGGATTTCTCAGTAACAAATGAATTAAATTGATTATAACATCAACATCTTGAGCAATGAATGCTTCGTTCAGAACGCTGTGCAATCTAAAGTCAGAAAGTTCTTCAATCTTTGTTATGGCTTCCCTGGAGATGCTTATCCAACCCGTCTTCACATGGCGTTTCTCTTCATTATCTTACACCCTGTGCCAGCCGGGGGCATGAAGCTGTAGCCAAGGGAAACTGGAAATCGCCGTGGAAAGAGGAGAGCAATAACAGCTGTGGCGGGAGAGTGACACATCCAAACGGCGGGTGATTCGGAAATCTTCAGCTGTGGCTTCTGAGACGAAACTGTCCTGAAGGGATGTTATCACCGAGGGGAAATGAGCCGGAAAGGAAAGAGAAAGCTTTTCACCAAAGTTATGATTCAGACACGTCACAGAAACATGTCTGACTAACACACTGCAAACATGTTTGTGAGGGGAAAGTATCGGAGCAGCAAACTCATTTTTGTTTTGGGTACATTACAAGAACGAAAATGTTTAAGTGTTTGTAGGATGAGAACATTTGCAGGCTGAATAGTTTTCTGTCATATGCATGCAGTACTTTCTGGAAGTCACCCTCCAGCCCCCAACAGGCGGCTTGTCATATTGTCACATGTGCTTTGCCAGGTCGGTGTTGACCGTGTCTAAACTGTTGTTTCTGCTGTGCATGGACGCCATCAGATGCCAGAAGTCGCTCCAACCTTTCTAGGTTGGAGGAACTGTTGTGTCGGACGAGCAGAGCGTTAAATCCTCTGGCGCTACTCACTATATTGTTGGATTTCCCAGCTTCTCTGAGTTTAATGTCATGAAACTAATCAAAAAAATAAACTCTGGCACCACTGTAGAGGCAGTAAGTGTTTATTTTATGAGCTGTAGTCAGATTAGCTGCAGAAGCTGTTAATCTTAAGTTGTTTTCTGGAGTTTAAAATTCTACAATTAAATTAGTTAAAACAGTTTTACAGTTTCAACATTTCAACTTGAATACTTTCTTTCTGTATTTCTTCTGGTGCTTTAACTTGTTTCTTAGTCTGTTCATCAATTGAATGAGCTTCATAACCTTGATGTGACTGCTGAGTGAAAACTGGATGTAGTTGAGTTGTGGGTCAAATTATTGAAATGAATAGGTCAGGCACAGAAGAGCCAAGGTAAACCACATTTCAAACCAACTTCATAAGTGAGAGCTTCGCTCAAACCGTCACGTACGGTTGACTGTTTCAATTAAATCAAAAACTTTTGAGACAATAATCCAGCTGGTGACAGTATCTAATCTCCATCAGGTTGCGATTTAATTTCATTGGTTAGTTTTAAACATTAAGCTGCATTGGCAGTTTGGCTGTTCTGGAAACACTTGTTATTGTGAAAGTTGTAAAATATTTATATTATCCATAAATACTCCTAAATGCTGCACTGAACCCCATTGAAAACCTCCTGGTTTGTCCACCAAATGTTAATTTCTGATCTCTTCCTGAGTTAAAACATTATTATGGTTGTTTCTAAATGAATATTAACTTGTTTTCTTTGCATTATTTGACATTTGAAAGTGCTGCATCTTTTGGTTATTTTGAAAATTTATCATTTTCTGCAAATAAATACTAAATTTTTACTAGGAATTTCAGAGACTTGTTGTCAGTAGTTCATAGAATAAAAGAACAAAGTTCATTTTACTCAAACATTTACCAAAATCAGAGAACTGATCATTTTAAGTGGTCTCCATTTTTTCCAGAGCTGTATCAACGATCAATAAAGCTTATTCCCTCCATTAACAGAAACAAAGCAGTCAAAGGATAAATAAATATCTTGATGTTCATTTGTTTGCATTTCAATCGATTTAAAGCCAAAAGGTAGATTCATTTTCAAACTTTATATTTAATATTTAAGAACGTGAGATGGGAAAAGTCTGCTGTCACCTTGACAATGTTCCCAACGCTCTGTTTTTGTTCTGGACTTGTTCTGCTTGTGGCTGAAAAAAAATCAAAATGACTTTATAGTAAAGACTTAATTGTTATTTATAGGTCAGTAATTGGAACGCTGGAAGCAGGAAACGTTTCGGGGTGATTACCTTGATGCAAAGACGTAAACATAACAGCAATCACATTATTTGTCTCCCCCCTCACAGGCTTTCTCATTAGGAGCCCAAAGATAGCAGAATAAAATATTAACTCCGACTTGTGGCTCTTTGGATAACCAGGACTGCTTTTTATTTAAATAAGTCTCATCACAGCTCTGCCAAAACCAGGCAGAAAATGGCCTGGAAACAGAAATGTTTTCTTACACTGTAAGACCCGAGAGCAACGTGAAGCTTTCCTTAATAACATGAGTGCTTCTAACACTGTTAGCAGGAATGTTTTGTTGGCTGCTGGTTTATCACCCTCAGAGATTTGAAGGAACAAACTCTGAACTCTTCTGCATTTCGTTCTGGTGCCTGAAAACACAAAGAACTTGTTTGTTTGTTTCTGAAATATTGCATTTCCAGGATGAACTGCTGGCTACCAATCAGAGCTAATAAAGAAGGTCAGGTTATATTTGATTAATTGTTGGATTAAGGAGTTGGAGTGACCCTCCTCCACAGACACTGATCTGGCCTTTTGGGAGGATGAATTGCCATCGTTGTGGTAATTCTGGATAATTATTTTGGTTCCTGCAGCTTGACGAACTGATTACCTGCAGGTTTAATATGTGAGACAGTTATTCTGCTCAATGCCACCACCTCATGTAGTGAAAAGAGACATGAGATCGTTTTCAAATCTGGCCTTCGTTATGTTTTGTTTTATTTCTGATTGATTTAACATCAGGAAAAAAGAGGCGACGATTTACTTTGATGCTGTTGGCTAGAAAAACTGATTTTTCAAACAATATATATTGATTCAATCTTTCTTTATGAGCATTATTATATTTTATCCTTGATTCATTTTTCCTCAGTGAGGAGGAAAAGTAATGGCAAATTAATTTGTTTCAGATTAATTATTCTATTATACTCCCTAGATTTTAATTAATCTTCTTGCCCTTTTGGCAGAATTTTTTTTTTTTACTTCTGCTGTAGTTTTGCATCTTCATTTGATTTGGAAAGGACATTTTAGAAAAACACACTTTTAGAAACAAATCTGTGGAGATATGGACTTGCAGAATTTAGCAAGGAGTCCAATCATTTAACTTTTAATTTAAAACATACTTTATTTATTCAGTAATTGAGATTTTGCTGCATCTTTACGCTCGGTCATAAATAATCTCGTAAAATCAGCCATTGTTTTGAAATGCCAGATGAAGGCCAAAATAATTTTATCTAAAAGTTT